GGTTGGATGGACGACGTCTTGACCGTGTGGGCGGTGAGTCTCCGGTGGATCTCCTCCACACTGCAGGCTCTCTCCTACTGCATTTGGTGGCTTACGGTCGCGGTCGTTAGCCTCGGTGCGTTCGCGGGGGCTGGTAAAGGTAAAATCGACCGGAGGAAACTCTGGATGACTCGTCCATACCGACGGTGGCGACGACCAGGGTCGCCGTTCTCCTACTTGCAGGCGCCGTCGAGGTCCCTACCCTCCACCCCGTCCCCATGCCCGGGTGAAAACCCTAAATCTCCTTAGATTGGGCGGCGGCGGCACTACGTGTGTCGTACCCTTCTTGGAGGCGCCGCCTGGGGCGTTTGGGTGCTCGGTTTGAGGAACTGCAGGCGGAGGGGATGGGACCAGTGGCAGCAGGTGGTGTTTCGCATCGGAGGAGCGGCGTGGCATCTGACACGTCGACAACGGCGGGTCTCAGCGGCATGGAGCAGCGGAGTCTCGCTGGTGGGCGTGTGATGATGGACGAGCGCAGGATGGTGGCGTTCTCTGGCGTCGTGGTGGCGACGACGACTGCTAGACCGGGCAAGGTAGATGCAGCATTACAGCACTAAAGATGGATTGGTGGCAGGTGGTTGCGGCGACCTCATACCCGACAGGCGTCCTAGTTGAGGAGTGCGCCGGACTGGTGGGTGCCCCATACCCGGACGGGCGTCCTGGTTGGGACATCAGGTCTTAGATGTTAGGTTTGGCTGCGAGGTCTTTTGATATTAGGCTTAAACTGTTGGGGAACGTAGTAATTTAAAAAAAAATCCTACGCACACGCAAGATATATCATGGCGATGCATAGCAACGAGAGGGGAAGAGTGTTGTCCACGTATCCTCATAGACTGTAAGCGGAAGCATTATGACAACGCGGTTGATGTAGTCGTACGTCTTCACGATTTGACCGATCCTAGTACCGAAAGTATGGCACCTCCGCGATCTGCGCACATTCGGCTCGGTGACGTCCCACGAACTCACGATCCAGCTGAGTGTCGAGGGTGAGATTCGTCAGCACGATGGCGTGATGACGGTGATAATGAAGCTAGCGGCGCAGGGCTTCGCCTAAGCACTACGATGATATGAACAAGGTGGATTATGGTGGAGGGGGCACCGCACATGGCTAAGGGATCAATGATCAACTTGTGTGTTCTAGGGTGCCCCTCTGCCCCCATATATAAAGGAGCAAGGGGGAGGCCGGCCGGCCCTTGGGGAGTGCTAGGAGAGGAGGAGTCCTCCTCCTAGTAGGAGTAGGACTCCCCTTTCCTAGTCCTACTAGGAGGACGAAGGGGAAGGAAGAAGAGGGAGAGAAGAGAAGGAAAGGAGGGGCGGTGCCCCCCTTTTGTCACACCCTAGCTAGTCATGCATCAGAGTGTGTGCATCATGTTTAAATTTCCATTTAATTTGAAATGGGGATTGTGAAACCCTCAGAAACATTCCTGAAAATGATCCAAATAAAAATTTCTCCAAAAGGGTCCAAGAAAATGCTCATGTTGCTCTCTGAAAATATTGGACAGAGATAAAAATCAAATCAATATTTTTAAGAGCTCATAGGTATTTATTTTGGGCATTTGGAATTAATGCATAAATATTTGCATTGGAAATATATTATTTATATATATTAATATATGTCCAAATATTATGCCAATTATAAAGGAGCTCTGGAATAATATATCTAGCCCCTGCAAAAATTGGCATAAGGTAAATAAATGATTTAATATTTTTTTTTAAATCAAAACAAATGTCAGAAATTAGAAAAACAGAAATATTTAAAAGGGAGAGCCTTACCTGGGCTCCTCCCTGTGCAGCCCAGCCAGCTGGCCGGCCCAGCCAGCAGGCGGCCCAGCCCGCCTCCCTCCTCTGTCGTCTTCGTCCTCGACAGAGGGAGGGGAGTGTGGCCGGCGCGCGCGCGCGCCACCGCGCCACGCCACCTGCTCGCCTGCCTGCCTGCCCTCCCCTCCTCGCTCGATGCCCCGGACGACGCCACGCCCTCCCCCCTGCTCTCTCTCACTCTCCCTCAGCTCTTCCCTCCTCTCCCTCGCTCTCTCTCACACGGCCGAACACCACCGTCGCCGCCGTTCGCCATAGCAGCCGTCACCGGCCACCCCTCGCCCCTCCGTTGAGCTCAGGAGCTCCGCCTCGACCCCCTCTTCCTCCCCACCGCTCCACGGGCCTCCGGAAGCCCTGCATCGCCGCCCACGTCGCCGTTCCCCTTCTCGGCCACCGGAGATCGTCGCCGTCGAATCGGGAGCTACCGAACGTCCCCGAGCACGCTAACCATCCCTGCAGCTCCGCGGTGAGCCACTGATTCGATTCCCCCTTGCCCCGTCGTCCCTAGCCTCCTGTAGCTGCCGCCCCCTTGAGCTCCGAAGCTCGCCGCCGCCGTGCCTCGTCGCCGTCGTGGCCACAGGCACCGTAGCGCCCAACCGAGCACACCCACGTCCTCACCGCACCGCGTAGAAGCCGTAGGTGCCAACCCCGCATCCCCGCAGCCGTTGTAGCCTCGACCCCGAGCTCAACCGAGCTCCGGCAGCCGCCACGGTCGTCGCCGTCGTCGGTACCAGCCACCTCAGGCACGGCCACCACCACCGTTCGACACGCGGGAGCAAGGGCTCTCCAACGAGCCCAAGCACGGCCTCGCCCGTGCTCTGTAGCGCGTTTCCGCATCGCGCCGCCGTCTCGGGCCCCGCCGGCGTCATGTCGCCGGTGGGTTTGACCTGTTTGACCTGGGGTTTGACCCCCCCAGGGTCACTGACGCGTGGGCCCCATCGGCCAGGTGGTCAGATTAGTGCTAATCACCGTTTAATTAACCCCCCTGACACTGATAGTGGGCCCCAGCGCCACTAACCCCTAATTAGGATTAAATTAACCCTGTTTAACCCCCCCTGTCACTGACGTGTGGACCCCACACGTCAGGTTTGACCTCAGCCAGCCGCAGTTGACCACTGACGTCATGCTGACGTCATGCTGGCGCAATATTTATATTTCTGGATTTAAATTAAATCAGGAAATTCCAGAATATTATTTAAACTTCAAAAATCCATAACTTTTATTCTGTAACTCCAAATTGGACAAATTATATATGAAAAATGATCAGAAAAATCCAATCTATCCATCTGTACTATTTTCATGCATGATCAAACAAGTTAAATTGATGTTTCAAGCAGAACAAGGAAAAGCACTTTAAAAGGCCATGTTTGAGTTTGAAATTTGAATTTTTGATTCAAATTTGCTCAAACCCTTCTGGTCTTAGTTGCATTAGCCCAACACACTCATGTTGCTATGTTTCATGCATGCATCATATTGTTGCACATTGTTTGGTGATGGTTGTGTATCGGTGTTCTTTGCGGCAGGTTCTGCCTCCGAGGAGTACCGTGATTACACTAACGAAGAACCGTATCAGTGCATCGAACCATCAGGCAAGCAACCAACCATTTGATCATATCGATACAATCCCATGTTCTCGCTCCTGCTCTCTTTTACTGC